CTCTCTGTCATGTCTTGGAAAGGGTCTAACCATAGATGTAGATTTAAAGTTGAATGCTTAAATTGAATTTTCTAAATTTTTCATCACTAAGCATGTCAGCACGTAGATATACACAATCAACATCTATCAAAACAATCAAAACTTAGTAGCACTTTCAGATTTGTGTCACAAAGCTTGGCAATATTTAGATATTCACAATCAACATCCATCAAAACAATCAAAACTTAGTAGCACTTTCAGATTTGTGTCACAAAGCTTGGCAATATTTAGATATTCACAATCAACATCCATCAAAACAATCAAAACTTTAGTAGCACTTTCAATTTAATTCACTTAACTTGGGGATTCTAGCCAAGCCTTATATCATCATAGATGATAACATCAAGACATTAAGTGTACAATGAAAGTACTTGGCAAAAAATGAAAATTTTTAATCATAAAATCTAGCTTGAGTATTGTGCTAAGAACCAAAATATTGAGCTCGTTAATCAGTACTTGACATCACACACTTACTACTTATAGAGTTATGACAAAAATTTAGTGAAATTTAAGGTTAGATTATCTAGCTAGTGGAATAACTAGATTAGATTATTATGAAGTATATATTTTCTTACTTTCAAGTGAGAAAAACTATTAACATAAGCACTGGATTATAGCAATATAACTTTCCAATCTCTTACAGAATTTGATATAAATTACAACTTGTTGTTCAAAATAAGTATTGAAGCTTGAACTTGTCTTATTTCATATGTTTATTCAAAACTCGTGCTTTGAACAGCCTCACTTTATTCAAAAACTAAAATGATCAAGCATCAATAATCTATCGATGAATGTAATATTATATTTCTTGTTGTAGCAATTTCATGCTAATTCTATCTCACAAAAAAGACAAATTGATCTTTATTTTATTAAAAACTGAACATGTAATCTATCTAATATTATTTTAAATCTATTCAAATAAATGAAGAAGATTTGAGTCATCTTCATTAAATATAATGCTTAACTATCATAATGAGATTGATAAGTTAAAAGTGAATTTAACTTGTAAATTAGTAATTAAATTAATTATCTTGGATTTTGAGCATACTATGAATTTAGCTCAAAAGCAAAATAGTGTAGAATAAAAATTTTGTGATTCATATTTCTCATCAAATTTGTAAAGGTTGAGTTAATGAGCTTAGATGTATTGTATTTCATTTGCAATCATGAGTTGTGAATCATCTCATTTATTGCTTCTTGAAATCCATATCGATACTTGCAAATTGTGACTTTTGTTATTAATATCTATACATTTAATGATTGATATTTGGAATTCATGTATGGTTTGCAATCAAATAGAGTTGAAGTTGAATTTATAAATTTTGCCCAATTACAACATAAGATTTTTAAATTCCTATTTTATGTTGCAAAAATTTGTACACTCGGTGCTACATCATTGCAATTTGTTACAAAAGTACTAAATTTCATCCACTAATCTTTTGAATAGCTTTATTATTCTTTTTATTTATGAAGCTTTTGGAATCTACAGTCTATTGATGTGACTACAAATCAATAACTTAAAACATCAAATGCAAATTAATGTGTAACATAAAGTTCAAAAAAGTACTAAATATGTTCAATCATTATCTAATAAACACATAATCTTGCTCATGTGTGTAATATGGCTACATTTTACTAATACAAACTAACATAATTAATTTTGATTTATTAAGCACATAAATTATTGACATGACAAATATAAATAATTCAATTTAAAGCAATTCTATTTCTATTTTGCGTATTTTTAAGTTTACTTTTAACTAATAAAAGATGATTATTAACACTTTTTTTATAATACAACGTTCTTGTTGCACATATGGTCAAATTTGTAAACTATCAAAAATATAATAGTTAAATTTTTGATTGGCTTCCAAATTGATTCATACAATTAAAGTTCGTTACATTTAATTGAATATCATATTTTATAATATTTATGATTTAAAGTCTGTTTATTGAGTATGATTTTAACTTTTTTTTTTCATGATTATTTATCAAGATCAAAAGATAAGATCATGTTGTTTGATTGATGAATTGTTTTACTTCTAATATATGTTTTTGTAATTGTAACACACACAAGCAATGATGTATTTTCATACGTGACTTGTATGATACTTCATGAACACATTTTATCATCACATTAAAACTCAATGATATATAAATAAACGTTGAATTTTTTTTTAAGAATATGAATTAATGTAGATTATCAGAAATTATACATTACATGAAGCAAAATGTGGTCAAATTTGTGCATGTACATGCAAAGTATACAAAAATCAAAGATTTTCCCATTCTTATTGCCTTTTAAGCGTAAATTCTTATGTTTTTTTTTCTTGTGACATTTTATGAATGACTTAAAGCAAATTTGCAAGTAACAAAAAATGATTTCACTTATGTTATTACATTGACGTGAATGCGAGTATCTTGTATTTTATATATTTTTCAATCAACTTTTGAAATAACACTATTTTTGAATCATCTCGTTTGTTTTGTTCACAAAAGCTGTTTTCAAATTATAATTTTATGAGCTTTTTAATAATTCACATATAATATACATGCTAATATGCTCATATTCTTGCTTAAAAATAAAAGTTTATAATGAATCATACTTTTGTAATTATTTGCATTTTTTGTTGACTGCACAAATTGTAGCATAAATCTCTATACATTTGAATATTTTATGCCAACATTACATATGTTTGTATTTTTTTCTACTTTCATGCAACTTGCAATGGTTTTATAGTTATTTTTTGTATTTTAATTCTTTCAAAAGTTATTATTGTTCTTAACATACACAATTGTCATATTGTGTATATGATGATGATATTTTTTAATTTTTCAATAAATAATGTTTGAATTTTAAAATATATTATATACAACAATTGAATGCCATTAAAAATTAAGGTTTTCTTTCAAAAAAAGCTCCTCAATGATTTAATAACAATACATGAATAACTTTCTCGTTAAATTATGCGATATGTGATTACTACAATAATATGTTTTCTATTACTAATTTTGGTGAATTGAATCATAAAATGATAGTTGTATTTGCTTGATGGTACCCGATCCAAAAGTAAATTACTTGATGGGATATATCAAGTTTTGATTTACCCGATGAGATCCCACCGACGGTCCATGTCACACTACTAGTAGTATAAATAGACGACGGTGCGTGAGTCACACTTGGTGTTACATTCGGCACGTGATATTTTGTTCCGCCGTTCGCATCGCTGCGTAGAGTCTGGTCTTGCTAAACTACTTTCTTGGGAAGAATGGCACGGTAAGGTGGAGAAGATGAAAAAATAACTCAGCTCGGTGCTGGCGTTAGGAGTAGGAAGGTTCAATTTTTATGCTTGCTAGATCGCAGAGATCGAGCGTTGCCTTTTGAACAGTTTAGGTTAAGGCACCCACTTATATTCAACTCGAGATCTCAAAGCGTGGATGTACAACAGGAGAGATGCTCTAGCTAGTTGTTAATTTCGTGTGAGAAGTACATCTGAACATCAGTTGCGATGTATTTTCACAGAAATCTAAACCGATTGATCATAGATCTATTAGAACATATTTTTACAAGAACGCATATTAGAACTTATATGTACAAGAACATACACGCACTAGAACACCTACTAGAACTCAGCGATGAAACACTGTCCGTGGGATCCCATTGGGTAAATTGAAAATTGACGGGTCCCATCAAGCAATTTACGTTTGGATGGGATCCCTTCAAAGAAATAACTCTAAAATTATATAAAGTGTTTTTAGCTCTAAGATATTATGAAGAACTCTGTGTGAAAAAAACATACTATAGATCGATATATCATTGTTTAGTTTTGAATCTTTGTTCTATGATAATGTCAACAAAGTAAAAAAAAGTTAGAATGTGTTTATAGTAATTAATCATGATAGACTATAGTATTTGGATATGCAAAGCAAATAGTATTAGATGACATATGTGTGTGAAAATGGACAAATAATATCATTTAATATGATTATATTCATATTCAACATGACACTATGAATACACTACTGGATGAAAATGTACTATAGTAGACTTTGTTCTTTCCTCGCTCTCTCCTAGATTCATCCAGTTTAAGTATAATCAAGAACTACTCATCAACATGTGAATTTTATCTACGAACAAGGCACATTAAGTTTAGTTAGTTATAAGTTTGCTACATACCCGAATGTGTGCTTTAGCTTGAAAGATACTCGGTGAATGTAAGGTACTTTCTTAATGTCTATTAACTTCATAATCGGTAATTCGGGCCCTTACCTGGGCCTGATTTATTATTTCGCCGATAGCTTGAAATTGCTAAAACAGAACAAAGGTGAACAGCCTATTTGTGCTGCATCGTAGTATGTCATGCAGATTGAACATATTACCTTCGATTGGAAATGCTTATATAATTGGCACACATTTTGATTATTTTCATATAGATGAGGTGCACTTTTAGAATTAGTGAGTTGTGTTGAGTAAAATTGAAAGAAGAGAGTTACTTTTTTTGGTCTCCTTGTTGGGCTTTTACGTTGTCTAAGTGTGCAGTTTCTTTGTACTCTTGTCTTTTATTTTGGGTCTACCTTTTTATCCCTCGAGCTTCTTCTGTGTTGTCAAAGGAGGACAAGGAGAGTAACCTAAAATTTAGTTAGACTCGCAAGTGTGATCTATTAATGCAGACATGACTTAAGCTGAGCATAATTTAGGTTTATTAAAACGCCTAGTACGTTCGATCTTGAGGTGACCCTATGATATGAAATGCCAAAGCTCGTGATTTGGAACATCCATACTTATTTATACTCTAACGCGATGTCAGTTCGTTTACTGTTTTATCCGAAGTGCATGAGAGGTGTAGGACACAATTACATGAGCCGGTACAGTGATTAAAGATAAAGAAAAGAGCAGAAAACATTTACCTTCAGATGAGAGCATAAATGTCATGCTCTGGAGCAACAGTAGTGTTGCACGTCCGTTTCCCGCTTGCACTTTCACAAACCCTAAACCGAAGGTTTTGGACTTGTTTATGAATTTGGAATAGCTTCTCGTGTAGATACCTCCCCATCATTGTAACGCGGGAGACTTTTGATCCTTGGGGCAGGAGAGCGCGCGTCAGTGCATATTGCTTCCTGCCTGAGTTTCTCTTGAGAATTCGAAATTCTTGTTGAATAAATTGGGAGTAGGTTCACTGCGCCGAAGAATGTCCATCGACTCGGGATTCGATTGTTGGCAGCGCAATGTATGCTCGTGGGACAGTTGTCCTTTTACAGACAGAGGAGGAATCCAGAGGAACTGAGGAGTCGAGATTGAGCAATTGGTGAGGAAGGATGTCGTTTTTTGGAACTCCCGCGTCACAGCCTGCGCAGTCAGGTGGATTCAATGTCGGATCTTCTCCGTTTGGAGCCTCATCTTTCGGTAGCGGGGGCATGTTCTCAACCCCACAAACTGGCGGGTGAGTGATTCCCTTGGTTACGTTAGTTATCGTTTCGTCCAGTGTTTCCCGCCCTAAATCTGCCGAGCTGCTCGAATACGGGTCTAGATATAAGTTTGTTACAGACCCGAGTGTGTGCTTTAGCTTGAAAGATACGCAGTGAATGTAAGGTCCTTTCTTTATGTCTATTAAATTCATTATCGGTAAATCGAACCCTTACCTCGGCCTGATTTATTATTTCGCTGATAGCTTGAAATTGCTACAAGACTCGGATTTCCGTTTAATATGATTAAAGTTTACGGGCCTGATAGTAACGAAACTCGGGCGATGTGCAATTTTCTTGCAAATGTTCTCTTCATTTTACTTATAGCATCCCTGTATGTGAAGGATAGTTCTTACCAATACTAAATAATCAACACAATCCGTGCATCGTTACTCTGTCTTGAACCTTGGCAATTGTGTATATATATTCGAATCTGGTCTAAACAGTAAAGTTCTCGTACGTCCTTCTCACTTTCATTTCATTTAATATTTCCGGGTTAATCACCTAAATAACTCATTCTGGTTCCTAACTTGAAACGGCGACTTTTTGATACTTAGCAGTAGAGAAGTTTAAATCATCACTAACACATGCGAGTTTTGCCCTCTACCTTTTAAACCTTTATGCGAGTTTAGAGTAGTTGTGGACCTTCTGGTTATGGGGCCTATTGTGAAGACGTTGAGTATGACTATACGTGTGTAACAGTATTTCATTTGTTCGATGCATATAAATTTATTGATTAACATTAGCTATGAGTGACTTTATTTTCGTGATGAAGTCGGCACCGAAAGCCCTCAAACCCGTTTTCTTCAAAGTTGTTGTCAGTTTTTTCTCTTTTTTTTCTTTTGTGTACTGACAGTCCCTACCTGGAGTCTTTTCTAGCTAGCCACACCATCGGCGCACTGTCTTTAGTTGTGGATGTCGGTTTTCATGTTGTGAAACTTGCGTAATTCATGACGTAATTCATGTATGGATATATAGTTGTTCCGTGAATAAAATTTTCTTTGTCTTTGGGTATATAAGTTGTCTTCGGACCGAAATCGGATGACGGAACATTAAGCTCTGATCCTAGTGACCAGGAAGGTTTTGCAGGTTTGTGATGCATAAATTAACTGAATATCCGCGCTTCTGATGGATGAATATTTCAGCAAAATTGGAATGTTATCTTTGCTGGCTCAAAGTATCGAAATAGTCTGTACAGTGCTTCTTGAAGCCCAAACGGTTTAACTCGATTTACAAATACACTACCCTCAGACCGAACCAAACACATGTTTTAAACATAGCACAAGTTTCTGAATAGCAGTACTGACATAGGATCTCTCGGGACATGAGAAGTCTGCTTTGCGGACACAGAATTCATGACAATCTGATGATGTCGGCGTGCACAATCTTGTGAGATTTTGATGCTATACAATGTGTCCTCTTATTTCTATATTGGACGTGATGTCTTACACGTGAAACGCAGAATTTTTGGAGCGAGCTCAACTTCTGCCTTCGGTGCCTCAACGGGTGGAAGTCTTTTTGGCAATACAACCTCAGCCTTTGGGGGCGCAGGTAACATTTTGTCCTTTGACCTCTTTTGGCTGAGACGGTTATCAGTACTCGTTTTCTTCAAAACTATGAACTGCTACTTTTGTGGTCACTCTAGATCTAAGGAATTGGGCTGCTCACGGTGAGTTCCGTCTTGCGTAGCATGTGGTTGGATATCATCAGAGGTTTTGGTCCTAGATGCCGATTCCATCTAATGATATCAGTGCACTATCGCAAGTTCATCTTGTGCATTGCTAATCCTTGTGGAGTGGTATCTCTCTATTGCGAATGGTTTAACAATTTTCAGAACATTTTGCTCTCATACATAAATATCGGTAACTCTACGTTCAGTTAGCCTCTGGATCTGACCGAGATTCCATAGTATGTACGCTTGCTTATCCCTTTCTTTGTACCTGTATGGTACGTGTTCACATATTTCTTCCAGTGCGTTCTGTTTGTCAGCTCGTCGTGCGCTGCATGTTGTCTCCTTCGTCATATGGACACTATGTATTCCCAGGACTGCAATGTCTTGTCTCAAGCCTCATTCAAGTAGGCTTCAGTTTTCCACTGTACCTGCAACAACGATAAGCATGCTTGCAATCTGCAGGTTACAAAAGGGCTCCAGTTTATTCGCACACGTTTTAATTTCAGTCATTGCATTGCCGCCCGTATTGAGTACATCTTTTCGACTTTTTTAGCACAGTATCGAAGCTAATATGGAAGGTAAATATAGATTATAAATAAATAGCAACACGCCTTTTAATTCTGTCTGTTCTGAATGACTAAATGCTTCAAGTTGTTGTGAATCCGTTCGCGAAACTCTTGCTGTATGTCTCCTGCACGTTAATGTGTTCAAATCATTCCAGATTTATGAAGAACGACCGTTCTTCTTCTCCAATCAACCGTCGTGCAAATAAACAAAACTGTATCGAAACCTAGTGCGATAACCCTAATACAATTACTGAGATGTACTCTTGCTCATGTATATGAACCCATCAAAGGAAGGTGACGAGATCCGGGGGATAGCGGCACGAACGTACGCACGCCCATGTTCTAAGTTGACTCGATCTTCTGGAATTCTACCCAGCGCCTTTAGACTTTAATCTAGCTCATCCTTTTCTGTTTGCCTTTTGGCTACTAGTGACAAGTTTTTCTTGCACTAAGTTGGTAATGTCTGGTGACTACTTTGGAAACGACTTGGAATATTTCTGCTGCCTGAAGTTATGTATCTCACAGAGAACTTTGTCTGGTTTGTTGGCTGTCCTGATTTACTACTTATCATGTTCGCCCTGTCCAGCCATCATTCACTCCGCCGTCTGAGCAAGCCTTTGGTAATATCAGCAGCCCTTGTCCGGTTGTAATGAGTACTTGTACTCCCGCAATCTTTACTTCTGTCTCGCTGAAATGTGGGCTGAAAACTATGCGCCTCTATGCACGCAGTCGACGCGGCCAGGCCGGGAGATAGCAAAGTGAAGTGACGCTTGTTAATCTAGTGAAGATTTGTATTTCGGTGAACCTCGCCAATTTTGGTGAGGTTCACTGAGCCCTGTTGCGTCACCGTGCCGGCCTTCACTGCACCTTAGATGATCTTCATTTCCTATCGCTTGCTGTCCACATCACTGCCTTCACTACACTTGTCTTCACTTCACATCACTTCTGTATGCCTTGGCCTATCACATGCTCTCATTATATACTGCAAGTCTCCGATCATTCTACAGTTTCAAAAGCAAGAGGAAGAACCTTTTGTTTATCTATTGCTTTTTTGAACGTATATGGCTTTATGGACGATATCCTGTTGTTCATTGTATATGCGGCCATGCTTCCTTTTGTGCCCATTTAGATCTGGTTGTCATCTTTGTGTCAATCTGGCTTTTCTGATTGACCGACATATGGTGACACTTGTTTTGTTGCCGACGCTGGAATGATATAATTAGTGTCGTATTACAGTTTTGGTCTCGATGTATGCGGCATATCTTGTAGTGCTCGATATCCAATAGAATTTGATCTCTCTGAAAGCGTGACGATTGTTTATGTGCATTGCAGTAGATCATCTTATTCTCCTCCATCCATAACCTTTTATATGTTTAAGTGTCATAACAATACTTCGAAATTGGAAGTCACCTCCCCTCTTCAGATACAGCCTCTCACAGCACTATGTATTTAAGTTTACTAGACTTTTGTTTTCATGCGTTACCATCCTTTGCTCGTATTAACTTCGATATTTTGAGTTTGCAGCTACGACGCCATCACTGTTTGGGTCAGCTTCACAAACACAATCTGGAGGAGGATTATTAGGAAGTTCACCGACCTTTGGCCAACCAGGTGCAGGATTCGGACAGTCATCTTCTTCTCTTTTTGGTCAGGCCACTACGCCTTCACTGTTCGGACAGCAACAGACTCCTTCCCTCTTTGGCCAATCGCAACCACAACAATCTGCCTCCCAGCCGTTCTCAATGTTTGGACAGTCTTCAGCATTTGGCCAAGGTCAGCCTTCACTATTTGGTCAATCACAACCACAGCCTCAATCGAATCCTTTTGGGGGGTCCTTCAACCAAACTCCGGGATCCATGTTCGGTGGTCCTACAAATTTCAACACCTCAACTCCTCAGCAAATGTTCCAGTCATCACAGCTGACCACGCAGATGGCTCCTGTTGCTCCTCTGGTCATTCCCCTGCCCGATAGGGAAGCACAGGTGAGATCAATTTCCTCCCGTTAGTTTGTCACTTGATGCAACATGCTGAACAAGCACCTACTTTTCCCTCTACTTATTATGTTCTATGAATTCTGGATGCAATGTAGGTCCAACAAGCTTTTAGGAGCCTGTGCTCACTTCAATTTACCAGAGCTTTCTCGGGTAAACATCTTGTTTTGCTTGGCCGAGTGGTTACATGGATGCCGCAACAGTTCAGTTGCAATTGTTCTTTGTTCGAATTCGGTGAGCTGTTGTGGGAGGGCACCTCCTTATTGACCTGATTTTCGAGGATGGCGCGATGCAGGCTTTTATTGACGCATATAAGGAAGAGCCTGGTAATCCGAAATACGCGTTTAAGGTTGGTGGAGAAATGAGACAACGTGTATACCACTTCTCTTGATCTGTAGTTTCAGTGTTATCAAATATATGAAGGTTGTTGCCGCAAATGGTGCTTGCAATTATCTACTCAAAACGCTATAGAAATCTATACATGTGGAGTTCTGCATTAACTTGCCACGACAGATACAAGCTTTCTCAAGATTTAGTTTGATGCTTCAAGATCGGAGACACTCTTAAAAAGTTTCGAATGTTGATATTTTCTCATTTGATCTCTACTGCGAAACGGTGCCATCTGTTTGACGCCCTTTGTGATGTTTGCAAAACAGCATCTACTTCTGAGCGTCACAGATCCTTCCTTGCGGGTGAAGCCTGTCGGTGTCTCTGATGTAAGTAAAAATGGGAATAGTATTCTCCTCATCTCCTGGTTCATTTGACCGTATCAGCGGATGCTGGGTTGCTTCTTGTAATAGTTTCGACTAAATGACTCATTTAGTCGGAACTGTCGATCTTTGCGTATAGTGCATCTAGGACCTCTTGCACAGTAAGAACACTTGCCCATCCTGCCTGAAATATTCTACTTTTATGTTGCTGCAGATAATGTGGGCAGAAGCTATGAACAACTTGGCGGGTATGGAAAGCGCTGATCGGGAAAGATTATGGCCTGAACTCGTTCAGGGCTTCAAAGATTTATCTAATAGGATGAAGGTAATAACCTACAATTGTGACTGTTAAAGTCATGAGTAGCAAAGTAAGAGAACTTGTCTTCTGGATGTCTGGACCTCCCGTATGCGTCACTCAAGAAATTGTGATTCTGACTCATTGTATTTCTGCAGCTACAAGATGACTGTATTACAGCTGATGTCCAGAGACTCCAAGCAACCGAAGCCAACGTCAAGCTGGTAAGTGATGGCTCTACGATCCTCTACACTGCAAATCACATATTAAGTCCCTTTGACGAAAATCGCATGCATGCATGCATGCACACGTCTCTTTCGGCTACGTCTGGCAAATACTTACGAGGACAGTTTGTAAGTTCTCAAATCCACTTATGTCAAGTCTGGTTCTATTCTTCCACAGTTGCATCGACATTTCGATACAGATACTGTCCCTTGGATCCAACGACTGAGACATAAGGAACAAGAGCTTCAACGGAGGCTTCTGAAGGTACGCATGAAGGCACTCATATATTTTTCTCTCTGCTTTTATAAATCGAAACTACGGGCTAATTTATCGAGCGTTCGTTCCGCTTTCCGCGTTAACATGGCAATGGCGTTATTCCTATTTCCAAATCGAGCAGGTCATGAGGATTGTGGAGGCTCTAGAAGGCAAAGGATTTCGCATGCCATTGACTAAAGGAGAAGCTAAAGTTGGAGAGCAGCTGCGAACATTGACCCGTCAAGTGGGTTTCATTATCCTACCGTTCCGGTTTTTTGTGAACAGTAGACGAGATTCCGTTTTCCATCTGCTATTGGTGTCTTTATCTATTTGTGTGTAACAAGGCATCCTTCAGCACACATAAACGAAGAAAGCTGTCAAGATCCGACTTTCGAATTAGGAGTTCACTGTCATGTTGTATGCTATGTATATTATATTAGTCGAAGGATATTTTAATGGTTTGTAACTGCTGTAGCGATACGAATGCCTCGTTTCAGCTACAAGGTCCTACAGCAGAACTTCCGCGAAAGGTGGACGGTTTGTTATCTAGATCTCGAATGCAAGCAGGAGTCGGCCAAGGTTCGGCGATGCTCCTCGGGCCAGGCAAAATCGAGGAGCAAAGTCTGGGAAATATGCATGCGGTAAGTTTTGTGCAACAGGTTATTGCTGTGCAGATGACTTTTTCAATCCGTCCTCAAATCGGCTCTCTACGAGTTCGATCCTTTACAAAATGTTCTCACGTGTGCCACTGGTCCGTCTTTATTAATTACTTTGCAGTATGCTGCCGACGTGATACAGTAAGCACTTACCATTCATTACAGCTTCGATCGTCCTAGATATTCTACTTTGAGTTGGAGGTTGCAGTCTAACTTCCAGGCCTTTGTGTTTGATTAGGTCCTACGGCAACAAACGGAAGCCATTGCTCATATCACCAATGTACTCAAAAAGGATACCAGAGATATCGATATCATGTTATCAGAAAACGCAGATATGGTTGTAGATGGGGACGCCAGTCAAAGGGCCTTAATGAGAAATGTCAATAGTGATAGTGCGAAAGTGGGATCTCCATTTAAAAGGCTTACTACTAGATTATATTAGTATTGTCAAATTCGCCCTCCAGTAGGTGGTTAGCATCTGTGCTTGCAGCCAAGCGTCTACTGCTTCCGCAAAATTTTGTATCTTAGTACGACAATCTGATTGGTCATATGGTGATAATGTCTCTGAAGGTTCTGTGATCAGTGTTAATTTTCTCCAGGAGTAGAACTTTTAATCCTTGATGCTCCTCACGGGACGAGATGGGTCTCGTGTTTAGGCTGGAAAATTGCGTGGAAAGCTATTGGTCTTTCGCAGTTGAGTACATGTGTCTTTCCCATTTAAAGCAAAGAATGTAAAGATTATCCATCTCGTTGCAGAAACTCCCCGATTGAAATCCTGTTCAAGGAACGTGCCTTGCCGAAGGGACATTTTCAAGATGAGTCATATTTTCTCTTCTTCGCAGGGAGCCGAGGCCGAACAGAAGATCGTTACTCATGTTGTGACTGTAATCTAAATCCGTGCATGGCAATGTTCCACCACATCTAAAACATTGTACACGACGATGTGGTGGAACTATTCCCATTTTATTTTCCAGTAGGCCACACCGTGATCAACTGATGTGTGCTCCACATAGCGGTCGGCCCGGCTCGGCTCGGTTCAGCTCGGCTGGAGCCGTTAGTACATGGAGCTCGGAGCCGATCGCCATGACAGAAGCCGGCTCGGGAACCGTCTCGACTAAGTCGTATCCGAGCCGGTCTGAAGCCGGCTCCGAACCCGGCTCGACCACGTCGGCTGAGTCGAGTCGACTGAGCCGGCTCCGAAGCCGCCTCGACTAAGTCGTAGCCGAGCCGGTCTGAAGCCGGCTCGAAGCCGGGCCGACCCCTAGCTCCACATACTAAAGCCCTGTTTGATCTGAATTTCGGTGAGAAGCCACGTGTGCGTCACTTTGGTTGCCCAAAGGTTGTCCTCCTGCAAGAAACACCATCTGAAAATTATTGTCTAGACCATTTGTAAGATACTTGAATCTGTACAAGTGTCAACTCTGTACAAACTCTGCAATAGACTAACCCGGATGTACATACAGTTCCCCATAATCTAATGATCATAGTTGGAACTTACCCTAGGACACGGAACACATTGTACACCAAGCAGTACGGTTACACCTAGGCTTACATGCCGATTGCCAGTGTGCGTAAGTATGCTTATAAATATAAAAGCACCCTCAGCAACAATCTGGAGGACGGAGAAGCTTGACGAGTACGGCGTTTGAAGCTTAAATTCAACGATCTATTATGACTGTTAACAAACACGGATGAAACTAGATAAACGAACGCAGAACATCTCTTAGCGAACTTCACCTCGTCGTATCTACTAAGTTTTGTAGATGACCTATATCAATATGACATGTACAAGATAAACACAAAATAGAATAATTTGATATGTTTAATTCCCAATATTTAGTCATAAAAATTATGCAATTATTTCAAATGTGCTTGTATGCACATGTAATATTAAAAAAATTTTCATTCATACAAGTATCTTTATTATCATCATGACGTTGAATATCCAAATTTTAATGAATCAACATAAAACACACATAGAGAAACATCATTTCAATTTAGCATATCAAATAGTTGATAGTTGAAACATTAAATAAAACATAAAAGAGCAGATAACATTCACTTTCTAGACTGTCATGAATATATATACTAAATTTACTCTTGGACTTACACAAAGATTTCATCTTCAATGTACATTTTAGTTAGTTTTGTGGACATGATATAATTTGGTTATGTACAAATAAGTACATCATCCAAGTAGAGTAGAAGTTGATGAATAGAATAGAATTGAAGGTTTTATTATTAAATTTATTTATGTATATATATGGATCATTCACACTTTATAAAAAAAAAAGTTTTTTTATTCAACTATTCAAACCTCCTATTACATTCTCTAGAAACTTGTTTCAATATAGATCGCCACCAATATTTTTTGAAAAATCTTTGTAATAAATCCTTCATATTATTTCTTTATATTAAACTATTCATATCAATTATAAGTTTTCTTGACTCAATCTAGTCAAACAATTTAAACAAAAAATGCACTGTCTTAATTTTTACAACTTCAAAACTGAAGGAGTATAAAAGATTTTTCTTAATATAAAAATGTGATGGAAAAAAACACACACACACACACTATATATATATATATGTATATGTATATATATATATATATATATATATATATATATACACACACTTGGTATATTTCAAACCACATACCTGTAAAAAGCATATTTGATGGTCAAAAAAGTCATTATACTCAAGATATATAACTTGAGACACACTTGTTAAAGGATTGTGAGCATCTTTGGTTTTCACACGCTAATAATTTTTGACATAGCCACTCTTACCACTTTTTCACCAGATTTTCATCTTATTTAAAAATACATTTCAAGACTTGAATCTACTCTTACATACAAAATGTTGTCATTCTTAACTGTCCATAAATATGATTAAAAAAGTCACATTAGATGTTGTATCTTAAAAAGAATTAGAGAGGTAATAGCATCATCATAATAGTAGATCATTAATCAACAAAGTTTAATACAAAAAATAGTAAGAAATTGCTACCTTTCACATTAAACAATTCAATGACAACGATTAAAAAGAAACATATTGTAAGTTTAATAAATGAAGAATTTTTTTCCATCACTTCTCTTCTTTCTAATATTCTAATGATCAATAAAAAACCATCAGACTTATCAATATGATATCAAATTGTTGTGCTAGAATTTTTCATTTACCATTTTTCATTCTTTCGTTTTCATTTTTCATTTTTTGGGATAAAGCTATGGTTCGAAAGCATCAAACGATAGATTAAAATCTTCACATTCATCCATTTGCTTGCTATCTAAAAACTGTGAATGTAGTATACCATTACTCACAACTTGCTTCTCAAGATTTTTCTGGTACTTGATATTTTATGTGTACGGTTTTGATTTCAGTATCTTACATAAACTCAAAGCTTTAAACTTACCCTTGACTGGTCTTTTTGAAAACCAAAAATCATCAAGTTCATTGTATTTGTTTATTTCATATCTTAATTTCCTAGACTTTATGACCATCATCTTTTTTTGTCAAACATTTAGAGTTATATCTTCTATCATTTGAGTTATGAGTTTGTTTTCACTGTTTGATTTATTTGACCTCTTCTAATCTTCTTACTTTTTTCTGCGTACATGATACTTCTTATGCATTTGGAGGTTTTCTATATACTTTGCATGGTGTCATTTTTACTCTCTCTCTTCTTTAATCTTTTTCCAATCACTTTTTTTAGTAGTTAATTCATAATTCAAGCATAAATTTCGTTAAAAATAATTTGGATCCAAGATCATAACATTCATGCCTATTTTTGCCTATAAGTGAAGATTTTTGTTTAAATTTAGGAAACATACATTTTCAATGAATTAGAAATTTGATATGTGGAAAGCGATTGCTTGGATCTTATATGCAAAAATTTTTGAAAAAGAAGCAACAATAGAATTACAGTGTTCAAATTTCAAACGGATAGAATATTCAGGCCTAAAAAATGGTTGTAAGAGTAAGGATGTTCAAAGCCTAAATAATTAGGATTTTGAGGTGAAAGTTGTGAAGACAAAAGTAAGATATTGAAAAAAATTACATTGATTAGAATGGTGCTTCAAATTTTGCAACGTGTTGTTATCTCTTGATAAGTTAAGCTGTAAAAACCATTTTATTCAAATTATTGACACTTTGCATCTCCTAAAAAGTGTCATTGGTGCAATTGAGATAACATTGCTGGACAAGGCAAATATGGGCACATTGAAGATTTTGGATAATTCCTGCTTCACCTGCTAGACCTCATATATATTGCGTAACAAGAATCGGTCGAGCTAGAAGAAGTCTACAAGTAATTCATTTCATGTAAGTATAGAGCCAACAAAATCTCGAGTCCAGGTCGAGTTACTGTGCATTAGATGTAAATCACATTCCCTTGTTTTACGTTGTTCGCCACGTTAACCTACAAATTCATCACTGTGACACCATACTTCATTCACTGGATAGTTGTGTCTAGTCAAATGCTTATAGTTTATGCTTAATTGCTTCAATTTGTATGTGCTTTCCTTAAGTAAGCTTAATGTTTACTTGAAAGAAACACACACAAAAATTCATCCTTGTTTGCTTTATGCTAAACCTAAAGGTGCTAGTCGGATCATCTGAGGATATTATATTTCTTCAGCGGTCCACTTTCAAAGCTACGACTATCACGGGCATACAAAATTTCCATTACATGAGGAAACTTGACTCCTTTACGTCTTGATTGCGCATCAAAGAGACCTTGCAGCGACAAGCCAACTTTTTTAATTCACAACCGACCCACAAACGGGCAAGGTCTTAGATCTATTGCATCTATATTTCCATTCCAAGCACCATTGTCATCAGCATTTTTTCCATCCTTACTTATCGATCCAAGACTCTAACTAACGAGCAGATGTATCAACATATTCTTAAGTAGGATTAGGCTTATTGTAATTAATCTCATATTTGAATTAATATTTATTCAAAACAAACTAACATTTATGCAACATAGATTACTCTTTGTATTTTTTATAAAACTTATGAATGATGGACTTTAATTCATGGCGCCAGTCTTTAATTTTTCATATCAATCTGCCATATTGTACAATTAAAAATTTATGATTTTCCAAAATAAAAAATAATAATTTTGAATAGATTAGAAATTGATCATTTTCTTATCAAGTTTTTGAAGCATTTTTAATACTTAACATCACAGATTTTATTTTTCCTTCTTATTGACACGTAGATTAATGATCTTGCTAAACTTTTAACAATTTCAAATTTTATTTTTCATTATTATTATGTTGCTATGTCATGAGAAATATATCACATAAAATGTAAAAAATATATGATTTTCTACCATTTGCAAGATAACATAAAACACTTGAAGATGAGAGCTCTTTATACATAATTTTTGCTATACAAAATATTTTTTAACATCTACAAAGAGATAAAATCTAACAAGAAAAATAATTGCTAATGTGTTGATGCAGGCTAACAAACAAACTAATACACTTCCTTTAATCTAACAAGCATGAGGAGTTTTGTCATGTTTTTTTAACTACAACATTTGTTGAGGTTCATTCCAGTTAAAAAGTAATCTAGCTATAAATTGCTTAAACGGTCATTGGGACTATGATTAAATATCCTGGTTTCTGCATGTGCAGAAAATCTTGGAGACAAGATCTTGAGTAAAAGTATCGCGTGTTATTGATGGACGTAGCCTGAGGCTGAAACATGTTATGTCATGTCAGGCTGGGATTTGATTTGTCTGCGTTTGATATTTTCTTGGTTCTGTCGTTACAACATTTCATTTTTTCCTATTAATCATAAACCTTTTGATCTGAAAATTGAACATTATAAAGTATATATCATTTATTTTCCTATAAAAAGTTATCTCTACTTTAGTTGTTACTTACCTATGAAAATTATAGAGCATAATTTGGTAGCTCCAAACTTGAATGTACTTACAAGATATTTTAAAACAAAAAAATCACAATATTAATATCAAGCACAAGTTTCATATATACCTGCTTTATTTAAAATACATCACATTCACAGATTTAGTAAAAATAACTTCCATAAGAAAAAGGTAG